AGGCTGTAGTCTTTGATCTTCTTTGGTAAGTGCTTCAGTTCTTCTCTTGGAGCAAGCAAGGTTGTATCATCTGCATTTTGCAGGTGTTCATGAGTCTACCTTCAATCCTGATGTGGCATCCTTCTTCATACAGTGTAGCTTCTTGAACTGTTTGCTCAGCATACAGATTGAACAGGTGGGTGACAAGATACAACTCTCATATATAAATAATACATTATTCCCTTGTTCTGTTTGAATAGCAGTTTCTTGGTCTGTGTACAGGTTCTGCATGTTATCTGGAATGCCCATTTGTCTCAATGTTGTTCATCATTTGTTATGATCCTCTGGTGGCCTAGTGGCAAGAAGCTGCACAGCAATCCCAAAGGCACACAGTTCAAGGGCACCAGCTACTCCCTGAAAGAAGGATGGGCGGTTGACTCTTATGTGATTAACTGCCTCTTAAAACCTGCCAGAGGGTTATTTATGGGCCAGTTCCAACTCTATGATATACAGCAACAACAGCTGAATTGTTTTCCATATTAACAAAACACAAGTCTACATCTTTCTGGTATTCTCTACTTTCAGCCAAGATCTGCCCAACATCAACAAAGATTTCCCTCATTCCATGATCTCTTCTGAATTCAACTTGAGTTTCTGGCATTTCCTTACTGATGCACTGCTCCTATCATTTAAAAATAACCTTCAACAATATTTTAATTATTGATGCTATTTGATAATTTACACATTGTGTTGGATATAGACTATATTATAAGTAGTAGTTGTAAGGTGTCATTGAAGACAAATTATAGCGACTCTGTGAGTAAGAGGTCTGAATCGTGCCCCGTCTTATGGCGTCCTCATCTTCCTCATCATCTTTGTCACAGTTGAGTCTATAGCTGCAGGCACTGTGTCCATTCCATCTTGTTGAGAGGTTTTTTTTTTTTTTATCTTTTGCTGACCCCTCTTCCTTTCCAAGCATGATGTCCCTTTCCAAAGAATACCATCTCCTAAGCAACATGCCCAAAATATGTGAGATGAAGTGCAACCATCCTTACCTCCAAGGAGCACTCTGGCTGCACTTTTCCCCGAGACATATCTGTTTGTTCTTTTGGCAGTCCCTGGGATAGTAAGTACTCTTCTCTAGCACCACAACTTAAAGGCATCAATTCTTCTTCTTTCATCTGTATTCATTTTCAAGCTTTCATGTGCATAACAAGTAACTGAAAACACATGGGCTGAATTAAGCATACTTAAATCTTCACACTGAAATCATTGCTCCTCAGTAACTTGGAGAGGTCCCTGACAGCAAACTTTCTCAAGGCAACATATCTCCTAATTTCCAGACTGCCGAGAAAGGGTGTAATCATTTATCTACATATTGTGATTTTTCTTATCAGTTCAGTGGTGAGGATTTATGTCTCCTTGATATTGAGATGCAATCCATATTGAAGATTATAGTCTTTGGCCTTTTGCAGCAAGCTTTTCAAGCCCTCTTCACTTTCAACAAGCAAGGACAAGCCATCTGCATAATGCTATGAGTCTTCCTCTGATCCTGTTGTCACATTCTTCCTTACAGAAATTACCTTCTGGAATGATTTGTTCAACATACGGATTGAATAAGTGTGGAGAAAGTATACAGCCCTGCTGCATACCTTTTCTGATTTTAAACCACACTGTTCCCTTGCTCCATTCAGACTACAGCTCTTTGGTCTAGGTCTAGGTTTCACAAGTAGAGAAAATATACTCTCTCTTTCAGCCCTCCCTCTCTCTCTATCTGCAACCTTTGTTCTTGTGATAATCCTTAGGTGGTGGTGGTGGTGGTGATGATGATGATGATAGCAACTGTGGTGATTGTTGTGTGTCACCTGTACTGATGTGGTAAAGGAAAGGTCCATGTGGCATTGTCAGTAAATCATGAGACATCAGGTTAACTTAAGCCTTCTGACAAAGTGTCAGAAAGGCCCATCTACATTAGAAGAATCAAGTTCTGTTTGTAGGTGTTGATGCCTCCTTGGAGAAGGCTCAAGAATACTAATGTCGAGATATGTGAAGGTTGAGAGTAGAGGATCTACAGTTGCCCATCAGGGCCTCACATTTGCAGATACTTTAGGTAGAAACATTTTTATAGGAAGATGCATCCTTTTGTCGTCACCACCAAATCTTGCAGTAGTTGTGGGCAAACTCTTATCTCTTCACTGACACAGCTGGTAATGTTTCATTGAAGAATTATATTTTGTGGCTGTCTCCTTTAAAAGGTGTGCCTATTGAAGATGGTTGCAAAAATGTCAAGTATCCAGATTGATAGCTATGCATTCTCAAAAGTTTGCATCATTGTCATCGTTGCCATCATCATCATCATCTTCTTCTTCTCCAGCAGATCTTCAAATTCCTCATTTGTATGGTTCCTCAGTGCTTGACCGTGTGTTCCTCACCATTGTCCTCCATCATGTCAAAGAAGTTTTCCCCACCAGATTTCCTTGTGACATGTAAGATATTCCTGCCTTCAGGATCAGTAATGGGGAAGACTCTGAAATCGTTGACCACTTCACTCCATAATGGCTTTCAGGAACATACATTGCCTTAGGCTTTAGGGCTTCATAGTGTCTGCAGTAAGCACCATTTCATGTGCCATTGCAAAGCTCTTCCACACAGCTATGATGCAAAATAGTTCTGAAAATGAGGTGGATGCAAATTGCCTTAATCCCCAGAGTGATGCCTGATCAAGTGACTGCATCAGTAGCATGGTGTTAAGGGTCAAGGACAGCATCACTTTCACCTTCTTAACAAAGAAGCAGAGAGATTGGGTGTGGCTGGAGTATTGTCACTTATGGGGAGACCCTAGAATGGCAACCTTTTCCCTTTTCTCTAAGATACTTCTTCACCACAGGAATGAAGCATTGGTAGAGCCATTTCAAGAACAAAATTCCCATCATCCCAGACCTTCTTCATGTTCTGCCAGAACATGGGCAGATGACTTTGGGTTTTGTTCTTAAGGACCTTTGCTCCATAGATGAGGCCCAACTTGGTCATGTGACCTGCTATATTGCCACATAGCACAGAATAAGGCAATCTCCCCAAGTGTTGAATCTCTGGCCTTCATGCCACTCTTCTGGATATAGATATACTTGGGCATCATCTTCCAGAACAAGAATCTGTTCTCATTACTGAAACTTGTCGTAGAAGTCTTCAGTTATGAGGAGTTTCTCTTCTCCCAGTTTCTGGAACTCTTCTGGGAATGCTAATGTTTCTTTAGTATAGTCAATGCTGATTCTCCCATCTTGAGGCTGCCGTCTATGTAACTAACCACCCGTCCCTTACCTGCCTTAAACTCTTTTCTTTACTCCCCTTAACTCGCTCAGTAAGTGCTCAGAGAGGTGAAGTGATTTTTCAGGTATAATTTTGCCATCAACTTGGCCATGTTTCTGTGACGCATCTTCTGGGCAAACACTTACTGCTTTCTCAGGGTTTGCAAGCACTTTATCACAAGTCAGAGACTGGTTTTGTCTTTGTGGGATCTGCATTAACACTCCCACAAATTTTACGTCTTCTGCTTTGTTGTGCGAGTGTTCTTATTCTTTCTTACCAATCTTACTGCCACAGCAAGTAACATGCCACTTTTCAAAAGGCAGGGAGATTTTTATATTCTTAGCCTTTGAGAGATTGCTTTGGCCACCTAATTGCATGGAGAGATGCTTATTATCTTAAGGTCTTGAATTTTTTTATTTTTTATTATTTTTGTGTGTGTGTACCTTCAAATCAGATCTGACTGGTACAGGAGAAGATTGCCCCTCCTTCTCCAGCAGAGCATCTGGTAGCTTTGAACCGCATGCCTTTGGGACTGCAGTGCAGCTTCTTAAGATCTTCAGCTGAACTCATTGCCATTGAGTTGGAAGTAACTCATCACTAACCCCGCCCAGTGGGTTTTCAAAGACTATATGTCTTTCTTCTGAGGAGTGACTAGTGGATTTGAACCTCCTGCCTTTGGAGTTGAGCTATTAGAGAGGGAGGCACCACTTTAGGATTAACAGTGCAACTTCCTACCCACTAGACCTCCAGCGTCCACACCACAACTCGTAAACAAGTGAGATGTGAGGTGAACAGTACTCTAACAGCAAGCCCTGCAGCGAGACTGAGGATGGGAGGCATGGTGCGAGGCTAGTGCGATATCGTTGAATTTCATCTGTGTTTGTTCAGCCTGGAGCTCACCATGCAGAAAAGTCAAGCCTTTTTCATTTTGGGACTTCAGAAAATTTCCCCCCAAATGTTTACTGTGGTCACTTGAATCTGTAGATATGGAACGTGCAGATATAGAAGGCCAGCTGCACAACATTTAATTTCTGATGAACAGTAGGACACTGACATGGTTTTGCACTTAGATGTGCAGAACAAGTCAGCTAGCTTTGTCCACAGAATGGGCTGAAATCAAGCTTTAATTAGCCAGAGCTTTGCATAATTCATCCAGCTCCCTTTAGAAGTCCAACAGACTGTGCTTTTACTTTTTATCACAATGAGTTCATTTGAAAGTACTGTTGATGTTGTTAGGTGCCATTGAGTTGAGTTGAGTACAACTCATAGTGACTTTGGGAACAATAGATCTGAACCCTGTCTTAGCCTGTGCCATCCTCGTTATTTCTGACATACTCAAGCCCATTGTGACAGTCACTGTGGCAGTCCACCTGGTTGAGCGTCTTCCTCTCTTTGGACAACCTTTCCAAGCATGATGTCTCTACAGAATAGCCTCTCCTAGCAACGTGTTCAGAGTACGTGAGACAAAGCTCCGAAGAGACTGTTTCTTTTATTCATGCATTACTTGATGAGCTAGTATTTAGATCTTTCCAGGAAAGCCAGAATAGCTCACCTTGTCTGTCTTAAAGAAATGAATTGCTACATAAAGATATATAAATAAATGAATTGATAAGTAAAGAAATAGTTCTTATTAAATACAATTCTTGGTATGAATAAAATAGATTTTAAAGGGAGGAAGTAATCTTCATTTCTTTTTGTCTTTTTTTAATCTGTAGGCTGTCCACCTGGCCCAGGCAAGTTTCCAGATTGAAGCCTTTGGCTCCAAATTCATTCTTGACCTCACACTGAACAAGTAAGTCTTTGGTCATGACTTGGTGCAATAAAACATCATGTTCTTGCTATTGCTTAATTAAAAAAGTTTATATTGAAGCAATTCATCTTTTCCAATGGCCTATATGTCATATATAATACTTAAATAAAAATTATAAAGGAATCTGAATAAAAGGAATTCTTCCTTTTTTCTCTTTCCCAAAGGAACAGACATTTAGCACTTAATACATTTAAATATCTTAAGTGGAAATTGTTCACTGTATAGTCCTTTCATGTTATGATTTTAAGTGAAATAAATATTTGAGTAATGATAGTTAATTAATAGAAATATATATTAATTGTTACATTATATGAGAAAAAAGAGAAATTATGAATTCAGGTACATATAGACCTAAGCCTGGTGATTTTTTCCCCATTTTACCTTTCATTATGCAGTTCATATGACTTATTTATGAAGAACAAAGAAAGTAGTGACTTGAAAATATCTATTTTGAGAAGACACTTTGCTTCATAACTTGCAATAGTGCAGTTTCTTAGAAATTCTGAGCCTAATGAAAATGTTCCCAGTTTTCTCAGAGCTGGTGTTTATGTTGGTGTTTTAGTTTTCTTTCCTGAATTGGAACCAGTTATGCAAATGTATCTGTATAAGTGTGAACCTGAGCTGTCAATGGCAAACTCAAATTGACCACTGGTTCCTGACTCATCGTGACCTCATAGGACAGACTAGAACTTCTCCATAGGGTCCTGAAGGCTGTAAATCTTTGCAGAAGTAGAGTTCCATGTAGGGCTCCTTCATAGCGGCTGATGGGTTCAAATTGTTGACCTTTCAGTTAACAGCCACTTGCTTTCACCTCTGTGACACCAGGTCCTTCAAATGGAGTTTAGCAGTGGGCATTGCTTTGGCAAAAGATTTCCTGCATCATTTAATTTAGTCACAGAAACTCCAGTCAGTATTTTAAATCCCCATTATTATTTTGGCCAGTACTGCATCCTTGCAAGAACAGTACCATTTAATGCTCTCAGACCCTGTACTGTAGGTGACTGCAGCCAATATCTGAGAAAGTGCAAAGAACTGTAAAGCACAACTATTCCATTTCTCGTCTGCCAATTTCTGTAAGTGCTGCAGAAAAAGAAAGTGCAGAGTCAGCTTAGGTGCTCCTTACTCAAGTGATATTGCAGCTTTAAGTCAGAGTGAGTCAGCGCAACTCTGCGTTTCCTGTGTTAAAGGGATCGCAGGTTTTCCTTTTTGGGTCTGGTGAGCCTTGGTTGAGTACTTTTCTACCATGCAGTGTCAGCAGTGTGCCTGCCTGAAAGGTTTGTCCTACCAAATATCATAAACTATTGGAGTTTATTTTTGATCTTCTGCCCTATAATCCTTACTGCAATGAAGCCTGGCCTAGGCTGGAGAATAGTGATAGGCACTGAAACCACCATATTTTTTGAAACACCTCTCAGATGACTAGCACATGGCTGATGAAGGGTCACCCAGGATGGTCAGGGTACAGTCTAGAAGCACAGGAGGAAATAATTTACTGTTGGTATTTAGTTTTTCAAGGAGTCAAGATGAACACCTCTGTGAACAGTCTCTGCCTTGAGGAGATTGCTCTCATGTGGGGGGTGGGGAGGCTGGGAGGTTGAGATGTCATTTTAGAAGGATACAGATAGAATGTAGTGTTGCAGAGGTTAACAGGGAATGCTAGGGTAGCATCTAGGAGAAGCAGCTCTGCAGGCTGGAGGTATGGGAACGAATTGAGGAATAGGTGACACTAGAGCTTCATCTTGGAGAAAAATTGCTTGTCTGGAAGCAAAGTGTTGTTGGGCCTGGGAGGGAAGAGAGGAAGATGGAGAAAGGGATTTCAGACAGAGAGATCGTGTAGGCTATGTAGGCGAGACCACAAGGCTGTGTTCACACTTAAAATGGCAGTTGAGGGAGAGGAGTAGGAGCCCAGCCTGGAGACGGGTCATGGAGCTCTGGTGTCTCATGCTCAGGAGCTTGGCTGTATTCAAATTTGATTGGAAAAAAAAATAAAGTACAAGGAATAAACAGAGATCCTTTGCTAAAGAGTGGGAGAAGCATGGAAAAGAGGGGGTGATGTTAAGGAAACTGATTCGTCGACGTATCACTTATAGTCAACTTTACTCATATCTTCAGAAAATCTCCATTGAGAGTAACTGTGATCAGAGCTGTACAGTGGTTAAAAGCAAAGGTTTTGATGTCAAACTGATCAAATTTGACTCTAGGCCAACTCATTTACTAGTCGTCATCTGACCTGGAACACATTTCTTAGCTTCGTTTTGTTAAATAACAGTTTCATTTAGATGTAATTCATACTAAAAAAAAATTACCCCTTTTAAGTATACAAGCCAGTGGTTTCTAGTATATTCACAGTATATTCACCATTATCTAATTCTAGAACATTCTCTTCACCTTAAAAGTAACCTTCTACTCTTTGATCTGAGGCATTTGAATATTCTGGTCACTTGATATAAAGTAGAATCATACATGTAGTCTTAATGTATCAGATTTCTTTCATTTAACATATGTTTTCCAAACTTACTCATTTTATAGCATCCATCATACTTGATTCCTTCTTAGGGCTGGATGACATTCCACTGGATGTATTCCTAACTCCTTAAACTAGAGTTTGCTTCTTAAGCAATAGGTTGTCATGAAGTCTAAATGAGAAGATAGGTAGTTTTTAATATTTCTTTGTTCAATAGATATGTGTGATTATTATGAATTATTATTACCACATTAAGGCTTGATACTAGGTGATTCAGCATTGACAAAAGTCACTGATCAATGGACTTTATACTATAATAAGAACAGAAGAACAAGTCTTCTAAAAAGAGCTCTATTCTTCTCTACTGGCCTAGTGGCAAGAACTGCACTGCAATCCCGAAGGTACATAATTCGAATCCACCAGCTGCTCCACAGAAGAAGGATGAGCAATCTCCTCCTGTGCAATTAACTGCTTCTGAAAATGCACCAGGCGGTCTGCTATGGGTTGGTTCTGACTCTAGGTACACTACATTTGCAGTCAGAACATCATTATGACTTCAGTAAGGGAGAAGGATACTCTGCATGGTATGGTCTTCTCCCTGCTGAACGTGAGCTGAAGAAAAAAAATTGGGTAACATTTGGTGTACACAAGATTGCTATTCATTCAATACAATGAACTTTGTGAAAACATGGTTCTATTGACGTAACAACATATTTGCAATTGATTTGTTATTTTACCACTTGCCGTACAATTGCTTATGAAGCATCCCTTAAAGAAAAGAAAAAGAGATATAAGATAACTGAATATTGGAAGAAAGTGAATTTCTCAGGCCACTTGAGTGATCCAGTGGGTCATGTACTCCTTGTAAAAGACAACGCCCATAATTCACCTTTCCAGAGCAAAAATGGATGAAATCATACATACCAAGTGTAAACCTTTCTGGTTAAAAAAGCAACAGTGTGTTAATAAGGGAATGCTAACCTAAATGAAAGAGTTTAAGATTCTTCCAGCCTCTTTTACATTTGTCATGAATGATAATCAGGAAAAGCTTGAATTGTCTGAAATCAGTACGAGACATCACCAGTAGGTGGCTATAAAATAAAACGGAGGAGAGGACATGGAACTAGAAGAGAAAAGGGTTTGATTTGTTAAGGACCAAGTAATCTGAAACAACTCTTACATTGAATTGAGGGATTAGAAGGGAAATGGCAGAATCCATATATTGCTGCTATTATTGCAAAATTTGTGCCAAGCTAAAATAAGCATCCATGTGTAATTATCAACCACGTATGTTTTGCACTCCACACTGCAGATTCTTAGGTTCTGTAGTGTGAGCAGAAGGTTCCATTGCGGACAGGCTGTTCTGGGAGAAATGCAGGGGAAGGTTGTGGGTGAACAAATATGGTCTTTGGAGGATGGTGTCTTCTATTTCTCTGAGAGAGTAATGGCTTAGGAATAATCCCTTAGTAGTGCCTTGGTTAAGGAGGAGACAGAGGATATGTAACACTGTAATAGAGAAATGTTTTGCTCCTTTTCCTGCACCATCATCATCTTGCCCCCTATAGCAGAGGGAATATTTCTGCTTTGAGAGGTGCTGGTGAAGGATGACCATTTTTCTCCATATCTCTTGATTGTTCCCTTGAAGGAGAGGACGACAGTCAAGCAGAATCTGATATCCTTTGGGTCATGATCTGGACATTAAAAGATAGAGTTACTTTATAAAAAGTGGTCAAACTGTTAGTACCTAGAGTATTAAAAAACTTGCAAGTCACCACTCAGCCCTCAACAATTGATCTCTCTTTGTCTGGGCATCAGAAGGAGAGTCAAGAATAGGAACTAGAATGTGTGGCTAATTGCCATGAGCAATTTCCTGCGTAGTCATGAGAGCAGAAATACTGGATAGTGCCAGGTTATTATTACTGAATACTTTAATAGAAGATTCTATAGTTGAAGGTAAAAATGAGGTAATTATAGAAAAGAATCTTCATAAAACAATGAGAAAGTATAGAATAGATTTCAAATTCTCGTGATATTCAGACTTTCTGGAGTGATGGAGCCTGGATAAATTCCTGAAACTATTTCCTTGAGATTGTCTTTAAACCTTAAAATGAAAATATCCCATAAAGTTTTGTAAAACCAAACATTAGTTTACCTTAACTAGTTAAAAAAAAATTTCCCTTGAGCATTGTACTCTTTTAATATCTATTTGTGTTGTTGTTGTTGTTATGTGCCGTCGAGTCGCTTGCAACTCATAATGATCCTATGTACAGCAGCCCTAAACTCTGCTCTGTCCTGTGCCAATCTCACTGTCTCTGGCATACCCATCCTGATTACCCCAGTCACCAAATCAATCCACCTCCTAGAGGGCCTTCTCCTCCTGTACCTTCCCAAGCATGATGTCCCTCTCCAAGGACTTGTCTCTCCTTACAACATGACCAAGGTATGTCAGACCTATTTTGTATGGGGTCAAATTTACAACAGCAAATGGAGAGAGTATTAGGATATTGATGGGTCAGTG